TTACCTCATCCCCAGCAGCTGACAGTAAGAATTTACCTTCCTACTAGTTCATCTGTATATAAAATTCCATTGGCATCTCTTCACCCTCTTAACACTTTTTGCTTCCATTCTTTCTGAATAGCGAGTTTGAATGCGGCTGGATTTTCCTTTTTTAAATACATCTTAAAGAGGTCACTCCCATGCAATTGTCTCAGGAAGCTTTACAGATGGCTTCTAATAAACTTGCTGAGCACTGGATCACATTTTAGAAAACAAATGGATCACAAGTCCAGAAAACGTCAACAGCCACAAGATCGACAGATGGAAAACATGACAGTGAAGAAGACAAGACATATTCCAACAGCAGTCAAACTGCTCTAAATTTGAGGATGACCTTGACATGCCCACTAACCCATTTTCCCAGCAAAAAGCAAAGATAATTTTATAAGTGACATTAGCTACACTTGTGAAACACACCTTTCAGTTCTACATACCACTGTCCGTTTATAACACCTGACAATCAAAAGATCTCTCTCACCAGCAAAGGATACCTCGTATACAAAAATGACTACCTGATATTACATCCATTTCAATAAACAAATATACCAAGCATAAGAAATCAGATGGATGTGGAATGCTGCACACTCACAGGCACTCAGAACTACTGACAGGCGTAACAGGAATTCATAAATGACCAGCGTTTTAATTCTCTTTCTATTCCTGCTTCACATTTATGACAATAGATGCTGATCACGGAAACACATTCCAAGATGAAAAAAGGTAAAGTATCACATGTACCTCAATAAACCCAATTTAATTTAGATCAAGACGACACAATATAGCTACCGATTCGATTTTACTGTTTGCTAACTTGCACAGGAAACACACAGCTCTTGTGAAATACATACCCCAAAGGCTGAAATGACAATTTGAAAAGCAGACAGCTGTGAAAAATAGCATTTTAAAAATAACTGATTAAAAAAAGTATCTCAACCTCATGTATACTGCAGTCAGTGACCAGTTCCTCGGTCACTTTTGCACTGTAAGGCAAAACGGAAGGATACAAGCAGCGACCATCAGTACCCTCCACAACTGCCTTATTTCACCACCTTTCGTTAATACCTTGCTCCCCTTCTCATGCTGACACCGCACACCTTCTCAGACAGCGTGCTAACGCAGCTTTCGCAACCGCTCCTTGGCACTCACAGCTGCTAAATGAAACCAGCCGAATTCCCCGCTCCGTACCCAGCCGGCTAGACCACCTCAACCGTGCAGCCACCGCAGCCAGCTCCCGCAGGCAGGTCCCCGCGAAGGCCCCGGTGCCCTCTCACCCAGGCAGGGCGGGCCTCAGAGCGCCAAGGACAGAGGCCACGCCGCGGGGAAGTGGCCACCAGGCCGAGCAGCCGCCCCTCCCCGTGCGCGCAGGGAAGCCGGGGCACCCCCGAGGCCGGGAGAGGCGGCGGCGGCGGCGGCGGCTCAGCGAGGGGCCGGGCGACGGCAGGAGGCCGCGCTTCGACTGCGGCCAGGCCCGGAGAGCGCCCGGCGGAGCGGCAGGGGGCGCGCTGGCGGCCTCCCGCAGCACGCACAGCGCCTCAGCCGTGCCGCCGGGGAGGAGGAGGAGGAGGAGGAGGAGGAGGAGGAGGGGGCTCCCCCATCGCCCCCCGCCCTCCCTCACCACCTACCCTTTCCCCCCCACCCTTCCCAGCCGGGGCCTCACCCGCTGCTGTCGCTGCAGACACCGCCCGCGGCTCCCTGCGGGATATGGCGGCGGAGAAGCGAGGGACGGCGCGGCTCGGCGCGGCCGCGGCACGGGCCCCACTCCGGCCGCTCCCGCCGCATGGAGGGGGAAGTGCAGGCCGGAGCGAGGGGAGAGGAGCGGGGCGGAGGAGCAAGAGCCAGGGCGGGACGGGACGGGATGGGGGGGGGGGGGCGGCTCAGTCAGCGGCGGCAGCCCGGGGGCCGCTGCCTCCACCTCATCGCTGCCTGCGCCTCAGCCGGGCCAGCGCCGCTGCCCGGGCGCCGTTGCCTAGCAACCGCGCGCAGCCCCCGCTGCTGCAGGCGCCGGGCTGCTCGCGGCGCCCTGCGCGCTCCCGAGGCGGCGGCGCACGCGCAGCGCGGCGGCCGCGCGTCCCGTCCCCCCCATCCGCGGTGCTCTTACACACTGCACGTAGTAACACAAACACCCTGCGAATGCGTTCGGCTTTGCACAACGCTGTGCGGAGCAGATGCTCTGCAGATCCCCTATCGATTTCAGTGGTGCTGGTAACGGCGCTCCCAAAGCTTCCTGAAACCGGTGTCAGCTTTCCCTGAAAATATGCAGTGAGCCAGTGCAACTGGGGTGGTCCAGTTGTAGGAAAAAACCTTGCAAGTGTGACTTGAGTAGAGGTTGAAGGCACAAAACCACAATAGCATAGAGAAAGAATCCGTTTTCATTGTGAAAAATCAGGAATGTAAAGGAACTTTCACATCTTGGGATGCACCATTTTGACTCATCCGTTTCCGGATGATTACATCTGACAGCATCACTGCCCATTCTGCTCATGGTAACTTGTACCTCATCCAGCAGTACATAGAATCAACCAAGTTGGAAAACATGTTTAAGATCATCAGGTCAAACCTTTACCCCAGCATCGCCAAGGCCACCACTGCCATGGCACTGAGGGCCTCATCTACACAGTGTGTGAACACTTGCAGGGACGGAGACCCCAGCACTGCCCTGAGCAGCCTGTTCCATACCTGATCACCCTCTCGGTGAAGAAATTGTTCCTAATGTCCGATAAACCTCCCCTGGCACAGCTTGAGGCTGTTTCTTCTTGTCCTATCGCTTTGTTGGCTGAAAGTTACACTGATAAAACACTGAGAAATTAGGCAGCAATAGCAGAAGCAGCAATAAAGGACTGTATTCTCCAATCATGGGGAGACAAAAGGATGCTACATTGCCAAAACCAGGGAGAGTTGAGAGGATACAAACAGCAAAGAAGATTCACAGTACTTCAAAGGCAGCACAGGGAGAAGAGCACTAGAAAACAGATTGCCACAGAGAGCAAGAGAATAGTAAAGAGTGGATTGGAGAACACAGCTAAACCAAAGGGGGGAAGGGGGGGAACAAACCTGCCAATCCATGCTTAATGAAAACTAATATTTTCTGCTACTAAATCATCCAATTTTTAAAATAAATGAGGGTCTGATACTGGAGCCTGCATTCGTTCCAAATTCCCATTTACTTCACTAGGAATTGAAAGCATTTTTGAAGATGAGTAAGGCTGTTATTATCAGGGGAAAATGAGCAGAAAGCTGCAATGCACTGGCCCTGATGTCATCCTTGAGTGCTGAAAGTTTTTATGACTGACCTGATTTCCCGGATCATTTGTTTCCACTGAGTGAAAGCAGGACGAACTGCATCTCTGGGGAGTTCCAGCTCCTCACTGCCTGGCACAGGGGCTAATCTGCATTACAGGACATTGATCACTCAATGTCATTTGTGTAGGAAAACAAAATTCCAACTGATAAGACATTTGCTGCCTCAGTTCCTCCACCCCAACAGCTCACACTGGCTGCTTATTACCTCACACTCCAGTTTGCCAGCTTCCCAGGCACAGATATTCACACGAGGGGCACCACTTGCCCTTTAGTCTGCAACTGCAGATGCAACTGGTTCAAGATACTCAGTTCTATGACCATAAGCCCAACTCAAGCAGATCTACCACATGCCATGCAAGTATGTCCACGCTGTCTTGCATTCAGTGTCTGTCGCATTCCCCAAAACATTCACCATTGCTCTCCTCTGCATTCTGTCCATTTTTAACATGACCCCAGCAAGTTTGATCAGTGCTGAGTAGCAGTTAAAGTATTTCCAGTGCCTTCCAGATAACATCTCTGTTACATTCCAGAATAAACACATTCCAGAATTCTGTTTTCATCAGCCTCCCATTACCCACTGATGAGTGGTCTGCTATAGCCACTACGACTATGGAACTGCTGGTTGTACATTTGTAACACACAGAAGTCTGCATTTGCAGAATCCAGTGTCCTTACTGACTGCCTAGACCTTGAGCTTAACTTCCATTTTAATGTGCTGGCCCTTCAGCCCAGCATGACCATCAGAGCTGGTAAACCCCAGGGTTTTACTGAGCATACAGGTGAAGGACCATGGATTTAGGTGCCTTAGGGCAGATCCTGGAAGAGATCTTCTGAGATATAACTGTTATCTTCATAAATTAAACCACAGTGCTTAGCACATTACAGAGACCAAAGGAAAATAACAGAAAGACCAAGTGGCCACTTTCCTCAATCCAGCAGTTCTATTTGTGTTCTGGCTTTCTTTTCCATAGTTACAAGTGCTTTGTATAGTATCAGAAATAAAGAAAGGAAAACCTAACGAACAAAATACATCTTTTCTGAACTCCAGACACAGCCACATTACTCAGAGCACCTAGTAGCAAACTGCGCTGTAGTAATAATGGCTACAGCATGCCTTTGTGTCATTTTTAATCAAAATTGTGAACTCATTCAACAGTCTCATCATATTGAATCATAGTCAACCATTTTAATGAAATGCAAAACTTTGCACAGATTTCAGGAGGAAACCTCCTGCTATCATAGAATCATATCATGGAATGGTTTGGGTTGGAAAGGACCTTAAAGCTCATTCAGTTCCAACCCCCTGCCACGGGCAGGGACACCTGCCACTAGTGCAAGTTGCTCCAAGCCCTGTCCAACCTGGCCTGAACACTGCCAGGGATGGGGCAGCCACAGCTTCTCTGGGCACCCTGTGCCAGCACCTCAGCACCCTCACAAGGGAGAATTTCTCCCTAATGCCTCATCTAAGTCTCCCTTCTGTCAGTTTAAAACCAATTTTTGTACTCCCAACCACCTCTGACATAACGAGGAGGTGTGACAAACTGATTTAAAGTGTAGTTGCAGGAAGAAGGGCAGGAAAGCTCTGCTCTGCATTGTGGGTGCTGTAGTCTTTCTGCTGCCTATCTGCCTCGGCAGCAGTAGGCGGCTGGACTCCAAGTCCCAGAGCTCCCACTAGAACCCACCGCACAGGCTCAGAGCCCATATGCCAGGAGGGGGTGACTACATTGTGTCTATTGTATGTTTTTTCTTTCTCCCCCCACCCCCCCCACCCCCCCCACCCGGCATTTTGTACATTTCACGGGAGGTTTAAATCGGGAGTGAAGAGCATGGCAGATGAGCAAGAGATTATGTGCAAACTCGAGAGCATCAAGGAGATCAGGTATGTCTGCTTTGTGCCGCATCAGTTTAGATGAAGCAGCTTTTTCCTCGGGGGAGCAGAGGAGTTGCATCGATCTGAAAGTAGCTATTGTGCTACCGAGGGAAAGAAAAGCACCGCTGGGCTTCGTGGTAGGAGCTGAGCATACATTTACCTAAGTAGGGAAGGAGCCTCTGCTGCTGGGAAAGGGCGGCAGCGGCCGTGCGTTCCCAGAGCACTGGACCCGAGTGCTAACAGGAGGAGTGTAGGGTGGGAAGGACGCAGCACCCCGCGCAGCCGGGGGAGTGGTGTCGGGCCGCGATGTGCTTTCCAAAGCCCTTTGAATTATCATTTCTTGTCCCAGAGGCGCCCTGGCATAAATCGATTGTTCTGCCCCACGCACTCCCTGGGAAAGGGAGGGGAAAGGAAGGGGATGGCACGAAAAGCAGAGCACGGCACCGAAAGCCGAGAACCGAGGGCGGCCGGTGTCGGGAGCGGGAGGGCGACGGAGACCGGTTCAGCGTTGCGCTGGGGCCGTGGCCTGCGGGGGGCATGGGGCTGGTGGTGGCTCTCGCACGGTGCGTTCAAAGAGGGGCCCGATGCACGGCCCGGCCTGTGGCTTAGCTTTAGGTAGGGCTCAGGGCACTGGTGCTCGGGGTAAGGCCTGAGCTGCCTGTGTTCGGCAGGCATCTACACATCCAGGAGCCAAAACACGTTACAAAGGAAGTGAGGGCAGCGGGTTTGGATGCAGCCGGGAGGTGCAGGGCGCGCAGGCTGTGGGTCACCCCACATGAGGAGTGTTTTGGGACATGGCAGCTAGCGAGGGGCTATGGGGGAGAGAGGCTGTGCCACTGGCAGCGTGTGCAGGTAGGCGCAGAGACTGCTGGCTGGTAGCAGCATCCCTAAGCAGCACATTTTACCCACCAAAGAGGTGAATTAGGAAGCAGGGTATGGGCCTCAGCCTTCCTCACGGCATACCACAAAGGGGAATAAAGATCAAGGAAAAGCATTTGTGTGTCTAACATCTCAAAGCTATTTAGAAAGAGCTGGGACAACACATGCCTGGCAGAGCAAGCGCAATGAGTTCGTACTCAACCGTTAGGCAGGCTCTGATTTAAAATACGGATCTGCGTATGGGCTACTGCAGTTTGTGGTCCAATTATTGTAACAGTTCACATAAATATCTCATGAAATTATCTTTTCAGAGAGAGTGGTGTCCTGTGTTTGGAAATCTATGGTGCATTCAGTTTTCTGGTAATATATTCAAACGTGATACATAAACTGCAACTAAGACATTTCTGCTATCGGTTTGTAGCATGAGGTACTATAAAAGGGACATTCCCGGCTTTGGTGTACAATGAAAGTTTCTAGAATATATTTTAAAGTTAAAAACAAATAGTCAAAAAGTCAGTTCTTGCGACACTGATGTCAAGTTTGAGTTGCCTTTAACAAAATCTGATCAAATAAATCTATTTTTTCATCCCCAAATTCTTCAAAAGGAGCTTGCATTCAATGAAGCATTTACCTCAAAATGAACAGGAGAGTTTCTTATTTACAGGCACACCTTTGATAGATTTAGCAGGCTTCACTTTCATCTGCATTCCATGATTATCCTACAGGCAGAAAGGGAAAAAGCCCTCACAATCAAAATCAGAGAAATTACCCCTTCCTGTAGTTGATCTCTTATCACTTATTAAAGGCAGCTCAGCAGGGTTTTTGAAGGCATTCTGGAATCTGATTTTGAAGACCTGTATCTATATCCATTTCTATATCTATACATACATACATTTGTAGTCAATGCAATACTGCTGTCAGTAAGCATTTGTATGTGCCCACAATCCAAACATATCTGCACGTGCTTATTTATATGCATTGTGTAGTCCCACAGAAATAACCTCAGTCATAAACTTAAGCCAATACCTAAAGACTGGCCCTCAGTGTTCTGACTGGGAGGAGGTAAAGAATGAGAGTGAACTTACCGATGGCAGATGCTCATTTCACTGCTTAATGCCCTGCTGGGATGCACTTAGGGACTACTCTCACCAATGCAGTGTAAGAACTTAAACAGAAGGGAAAAGAATACAACGGCAGAATTCATTAGCAGTCTAGAAATCAGAGTTTCTGTTTTAAAACATAACTGGATATTGCCTTGTGCTAACAGGAGGAGTTGTAACTCCTTTTTCTTTCCTAGTATCAAAAGTTAATCATTTGGACTGAAATAAACCCCTGCAACTCATTTGGTGGGGAGCAATCTGGCAGAGCGTGGCAGACAGTGACTCATAACAGTGAGGAAACTGATTGATTTGCACTCTCTTAGGTGAATGCATGCCACAAATACAGAGACGAGAAACAGGGAGGAAACTGGGGACAAATATTTCAGTAATCAAAGTTTCCATTACTAAATAAATGTTTTAAATAAATGGGAACAATGAGACATGAGGAAAACAAGTGTAGGTGGCTGGATGGTTCTTCTTAGTGGGATATTGCTACATTTGAAATGGAAGGTAGAGAGGATCTCTTTTACTGGTTTATGTCCTGTATTTACAATCAGGCTAGTATATGCCATTGTCTAGTACATGACAGAACACTGCCAATGACATTAAAGATCACAATGTTGCAGCTACAGACTTGTATTCCATCTGCTTTCCAGGCTTCTTCTGCACTCCCTTCATAAAACTTTTACTAACTGACTTACTATTCCATCAGCTGGTTTTTACTATAATGGTGAGATAAGGATTTTTCAGAGCAAGTATGATATGAAGCAGTTTCAGAAGGAGCCATTGGGGACTGGGTATGAAAACAGTTTGTAACAGGAACAGATGCCCCACAGAGGTTTAGGAATCCCCTTTTCTAGAAACAGTGCCTTCTGCTTCCATTAAAAACCTCAGACCTGTGTTGCTTGCTTCTATGGGAGCAAGTCGGGGCCTAGTGGGAATGGAAGTTACACGCCCAGTTCTAGGATAAGGGTGAAATCCCTCTGCTAGGATTTCATTGCTAATCTGATAGGCAGTTTCCTATAATCTACAGACTGCATTCTATAGTCAGCTTTACTGCTTACAATGAAATTGAATCAAACTTACCCCATGTTACATTGGGATGGGAATAGGCTATTTAAATATGAGTGGAAACCTCTTCTTCCCCACCTCCCTCTTCCATCATGCCTGTAGGAAGTCTACTCTGTTATTCAGTAGTGCTCTTGGAAATCAATATGGATCTATTTGTGCTAGGCAACTAAAAAGGAATGCTATATGCTTGCTTGTTTCACACAAAGTAAAGCAAGGAGTCCTGGAACTCTTGATTACATGCCTGAAATGTGACATTGCAGCCCCCTGTTAGAAACACTGAAGTGTTGTTGACACATTGGTTACCCAGTATCATATTCTAACTTCCAGACAAGAAAAATAAGGCCTCTTCATTAACTACATCACAGGAACAAGAACAGTTTGTTCTTTTCAACAGCTTGGATGAGCCTGGAATCACACTCCTGCTTAAACTGTCTGATGACTGAAACTCACACTCCTTAATTACTAGCTTTGAAGAGAGAGATAAGGGCTGCATCTCAACCTTTGTGCTATGGAATCAGGGATTTGCACAAATGAAAGAGATAATCAGAATTGCAGGATATGGGCAGAAACATTTACAAATGTGACAGGTACTAAATCTTGGCAAAGAACCAAGAGAACGCAGAGCTGCTTGCAGGTGGGATATTGATGGCCAGTGTCATTTGAGTTTTCACTACTCTGATACGTAACTGCTCTAGAATTTTCTTTAAACTGACATTGAAGCTAGTATTTTAGCAGTTCAAATTACCTTCCACATAGCTTTAGTCAGTGTAAGTGACATTGTAATCACCTCCAATCACACCCAATTCATTTTGCATTTCTCAGAATCCTGTGCTAAACCTCCCAGATTTTCTGGATCTCTCTGTTTCGGTTTAATCCGAGATAATTGATGCAGTAGAACTCCTGTTGGTACCAATTCTCTGAATGTACAGCACCTGTTAAAGCCTGACAACATTCTGTTAATTTCAGAACTCGATGTAAGAATTCTAATAGCACTGAAAAGCTCCGCAGAAAGTGCTTGTAACACCTCATCTTTTCTCAAAGATGATTAGTCTCGCCCTTGTCTATTACTGCTGTTACCTTCTCCCATCTATTCACATATAAAGTGGCACCTCACAAAATACATTGCAGTGACTTAACTGTTGTCTCTCTGTATTTTTACCTGTCACTGGGATCCAGGAATAAGACTTTGCAGATGGAAAAAATAAAGGCGCGACTGAAAGCAGAATTTGAAGCCCTGGAGTCTGAGGAGAGGCACCTGAAAGAATACAAGCAGGAAATGGACCTGCTGCTGCAAGAGAAGATGGCCCACGTGGAGGAGCTGCGGCTGATCCACGCTGATATTAATGTGGTATGCGACAGTCCAGCTGTGGACAACCTGACTAAGAGTTGTAGATGAATCACTCCACAGGTCATGGAATTGTGTACATCACTGGCTCAATAATCTGGACTCCACAGCCTCATCCTGGGATCCTACAGAGCGGGCAAAGTCTATTTAGCTCAGGATAATTGTTTTTTTCCCCTGACTGAGTTGTTTTGTAATGGTGGCATATTAGCATGTGCACCAAGAGGATAGATAACCAAGTCCACTGTAGCTACAGCTTTACCAGTAGGCACAGTAACATCACTCTGTCAGGTCCATAGAAAACTGTTACTCTCTTAGTCTTTCCTTATTTAGCACCTCAGAATAGAGAACCTTTGGCAGCTAGGTGGGACTTCCGATTGGAGGGGTTTGGAAGAAAAAGAGATTTTGGTAAAATAGATATTCATTAAATTCTTAGTGAGAACTGACCTGCATCACTGAGCGGAACCACCAAACATTAAGCAGCAGCCTGAAGGGAATGAATACAAATAAGAGAAATCCAGTTTATAAACAAGTAAGACTGGCCAATTAGAGGGACTAAATGACCAGCAGGTTTTATGTCATGTTAGGGCACTCACATGGCTCTACAGTGGTTTCTTGCTCTGAAGGTATCCAAGCTTAGCACCAGATGAAAAAAGCTCTCACATTGTAAGCAAGTACAAGATACATACTGGATGTGCAGACTGCATTTATTTATCGCTTGAACAGCCTGTTCCCCATCCCAGCTGCACAACCTCAGTCTCTGTTTCATTCCCCCCTCTTTTCTTGTCACATTGTCTTTTTCTCTGCTTTACTGCAGTAGGAGAAGCAGAAACCTTTCCTTAGCTTGTTTGTTAGCTTCTACCCATTGGCATTCAGGTATCTGAGAAATACAGAAAATTATTCTAATTTCTTTTTAATGTCCCCTGAGAGTTTTCTATAGCTCCTCACTTGCTGACTTGCCTGCAGCCTACCTGTTTTTAATGTTGATCAGAAGGACATATAGGTTGAGTGCACCTTTCTTAAATGAAAATGCATCTCACATGTCACTTTGAATTGCTTCTTCCTAGCCCAGTTTTCATCCTCCTGATATCTTTACTTTTTGTTTTACTACTGCATTGTCTCCAGTTTCTTCCAAATTGAGTGAGAAAAATCTGTTCTTTCTGGTGCAGTCTCTTGCTAAGAGAGCTGGTAAAGGAAGGGTTCTTTAAAACCATGCTCCTGTTTCAGATGGAGAATACTATCAAGCAGTCTGAGAACGACCTCAACAAGCTCCTGGAATCTACTCGTCGCCTGCATGAGGAGTACAAACCCCTCAAGGAGCACGTAGATGCTTTGCGGATGACTCTGGGGTTGCAGAGGCTGCCAGATCTGTGTGAGGAGGAAGAGAAACTGTCCCTTGAGTAAGTGTCCAAAGCAAACATTATCTGGCTTTAGATCTTCTCTTGATTCTACTGGTTATTTTGTCATTTAACTTGTGTTAGTAGATGGGGGAGGATGTCAGAATTAGGTACTATTCAGAGAACAGTGTCCTTTGTTTTCCAGATCAGTTTTAAATGCAAGGGATGTTTTAAGAAAGTGCCATTTCTCTTAACACCCAGCACACTTGGCATCATTTTCACAGATACAGTTTTCAAGGTATCCTTTGCATTTCTGAAGAAATGCTGTTTTCCATTCCAAGCACCTTGATACTACAAAGAATGTCTTAATATATTGCATATAAAAGTTATTCCTTTTAACAGAATAAAATATAAAGACTAAGTTTGGCAGAGGTGCATCTAAATCTGTCAAAGATTAAATATGTATGTTGTCTAATCGCCATCCTATTAGGTTTATATTCAGGTGTACATCACCATACCTTAGAAGCTGAAAATCTGGAATCTGGCTGAAGTGTAGAAATGCAGAGGAAAATACCATCAGTTCTATTTATGAACTAGTCCAAGTGGTATCTAAGTGTAGGCAATTTGTCTGTAGTGGAGGAAGATGATAGGGAAACATGATCCATTGTATTTTACAGAAAATATCCTTTACAAACTAATGAAATACTCCAGAAGGTGGGTATATTTTTCATTTGGTTTTCTTTTGTCTAGCTACTTTGAAAAGCAGAAGGCAGAATGGCAGACAGAACCACAGGAGCCTCCCATCCCAGAGTCTCTGGCTGCAGCTGCAGCGGCTGCCCAGCAGCTGCAAGTGGCCAGGAAACAAGATACCAGACAGACAGCAACTTTCAGACAACAGCCACCTCCAATGAAGGTCAGGACAGGGAATGCGCCGGGGTTTCACTTCTATCTTATGTTTATAAAGTTATCAATTTATAAAAAGGAAAAATGACGTGTCCTGATTGTGGTTTCTCCTGCAGTGGTCCAAATCAAAAATCAACCCCAGTAGACTTTAAGTAGTAGCACCAGTCATGAAGGGTTAAGGACAAGGCTCTGTATTATTTGACTCCTTTATGACCTAAGAGTCTCCATCTGCAAGGATGTGGTCAATTCCGACTCCTCTTGTTTCATGTGGGAGACAGGCACGACAGAAAAAAGGGCTGGGCAAAAGAACAACTGATAGCTGGGAGTTAATTCCAAAGAGGTTCATATTAGAGCAACACACATTTTATGAGGGAGAGTACTTACTGATGGTACAAATTACCAGAAAAGGTGATTGTTTCTGCACCTCTTGGGATCTTCAAATCAGTATCAGTTAATTTAACCCAACCACAGGCACTTACGTGACAATTTTACTCAGCTCCTGCAGGCAGTAAAAAGAGCTCAGTAATTCCACAGGGATATTCATCCCACCCAAGTTCCAAAGATTCACTGACTAAGGAGGCAGACTGACATAGGTACACTCCATAGTTCTGTATTTAGTGTCTGGACTCACACCATTAAAAAGCCTTTCTGAAAGTAATATGCTGATGGAAGTTAAACGGCTTAGTATGGAGCAAAAGGGCAGAGTTCTACATCTTGCATTAAATATGTGTAATTCATCTAATCACTCGCTCCTGCCTTGAATTCTGTGACACCACAGTTGGCACAGTTGTAAACATCTTTATGACACTTTTAACACAAAATAGAATTCAATGTTAAAGTGATTGATACATACCTGAACCACGCATCTGCTGAGTTGCAGTTTCAAGTCAATAAAATACTAACTAAAACAGTGTTTTAGTTGGTCTAAAGTTACTGTACAATCCAAAGACTTGCACTGTATAGAATGTAGCACTGGTTTGCCTTTGGAGGCAAGAGGCCTTAGTTATTTCTGTGTGTTCTGTAACTTGGAATGTGATACTGAATAACCTGGGTACCACCACTTGAATGTTTGTATAACAAGAGCTGCAATGTCGCATTTCAGGCGTGTTTATCGTGTCACCAACAAATTCATCGGAACGCACCCATCTGTCCCCTCTGCAAAGCGAAGAGCCGCTCTCGGAATCCCAAAAAGCCCAAGAGGAAACAGGATGAATGAAACCCAGAAGACTGACAAGCAAACGCATGACCCATTCCAGAACCCTTCCAGCAGAACTGCAGATGTGGCCAGACTTTACTGACGTGCAGTCTCACGTATGACCGACCCCTTGTTTTCTATTTAATGCAATGTAAGCACAATGTCCCTGTTCTGTCTTAATTTCCTTCCGGTCCTTAGGATTTGGTTTTAGGAAAGTTAAGTATTACTGGTGCTACGGTTTAACATTTCAACCATTCCATCTTTTGGACTCCTAAATGAAGTCGAATTCTTATGCAAGTATCCCAACTGCAAGGCTCTTCCTATTGGCCAGATGTGATGACCACAGATGCTTTTATGTTCTCTTTTTAAAAACAAATGTTACTACAAGATTGAGACTATTCAAAGTGCTAAAATAACTGTTTGTTTCACTAAAGAACAAGTTGTTTTCCAAGCTAGTAAGACTGCATAGGTTTGGGCATCCAGTAGAGCTCTTTTTATACAGGAAATGTTCAGGGGGAAATAGAAATTGGTTATAAAGGAAATCAGTGCATTAATGCACGCGTCAGTTTTGATTTCTTGGAATTTGATTGTACCATTCCCTCCAACTTGACTTAAAATTTGGAAGTGGGACCAAGTTGCTGGCTGTGTATGAAATTCTAAGAATGATGTAATTTGTGATGCTTTAACATCTTAATATGGTATTATTTTCAGCAGTCAGAAGACCGATTAACTTAAGAACAAGGATCAACTGAACTGTATTAGTGGTCCTTCCAGGCTCTATGGCCAACCAGCTCCTTGTGCTTCTCTAGGAAACATGTATGAGATACGTACACAGACTGCAACATCAGCCATTCTCACATCTTCTATTCCTAGTTTCCACAGCCAAAATCTCCCTTGGCAGACATGTCCTCCACTGGAGCACAGGGAAGCTCAGTAACATGCACCAGGAACAATGTCAACTGCCTGGCTTTGGTGCCATTGTCCTCCCTCAACCAAAGCTTACTACTTTTGTGTCTTTGAATAGGGCATTTTCAAGTAAGCTTTATTGCAGCCCAGTTTTTTTTCTTGCTCAGTACATGTGCCAAAAGAACCCTGACTAAAGGGTCCTCTAGACCACTCCCTGTATCCATGTCTTCCTTTTGTTTCACCTCATGTATCATCAGTTCCTTCAATGGGGAGGGTGGCAGTGGCCCAGCTACAGAGCCAGGGCTTAAAATTCACTCATTTCTAATCCCAGTTTTGTCACCACCTTTGTTGTCCAAATTGATCTCAAGCATGAAATATTCTTTTCACTGACTTCAGGAGGCATGGACTGCCTGTTTACATTCTTCTTGAATGGTTATATTGAGGACTTTGCCTGAAGAACAGGGAAGCTGCAAGTCTCCTGTCAGAACTCTGCCAAATCCAAATCTCTACAAACCCAGATAAACCAGTTTTACTGGGCAAATTACATATGTTGCCATTAATTTCCTAACTCTGCCACAATACATATGAGTTTTTTTATTGAATATAGTCCTATAATTCATGCCAAGTTCAGGTGGTGGTCTCTCATTTTACTGTTTCATGTATAGCCAGTAAACACCTGTCAACATCAGAGGCAGAACATGACCATGTGCCCCTGAAAATATGCGAAGAGCAAATTCTACTGGCTGAATTACTGGAATTCAGTCTCTGAGATAGCAATAATGGAAGATAGTTTGATCTCATGCTCCAAGTGGCAGCAGTGTGCTAACTATCCTTATACATGTTTCCTACGCAAATACTAGATTCTGCTTTTAAATGTCACAGCAGCCACATGCTGTGTGCCCTGTTTCAAGCAATTCCTGATGAGTTTCAGGGAAAATGCACACAGACTTAAAGGACAGCATATGGACTCACCCAGGGTGAATGCATGAGAGCAGCATACTTCAACAGTTGTACATAAACTTTATGGTATTGATCACTTCATTGTCAAGAAGTGGTGACAGTGGAGAATGGATGAACGGTCTGCAGTGAAGTTGTGTGAATAGAGGATATATGTGTAGAGACTTGAACTTACAGTTCTGAAATAGATAGGGTTAGTTGCAGCGGCTCTCACTTCACTGTTACTTTGCCAGGTTCTTTTTTTCTTAAGAGATCTCTAGAGCTCTGAACTGAAGGATGCACCATTTGCTACTTTAGTATGGCGATTTTGTATTTTTACTTTTGTAAACTAATCTCTTGTGCCCTCGTGTTTAACAAGGTTTGCTTTTTTTTAAAGGAAAAGAAAAACCTATGACTATGACATGACTGTTTGTATCAACCATGTTCTCGTGTTTACAAATTTGTTTTCATATCCTTTAGCAAGTTCTGCCATATGAATAGCCTGTGTTGCTGAGCATGAGTCTAACTGAATATGAGGCAACAGTGTGCCCTGGCAGCCAAAAGGGTCAACCATATCCTGGGGTGCATTGAGTCGGTTGAAGGAGATGATTGTCCCTCTCTGCACTGCACTGGTGCAGCCTCAAGTACTGGGCAGTTTTGCACACCTTAGTGTAAGAAGAACAGGAAACTATTAGAGTGTGTCCAGAGGAAGGAAAGCAAGATGGTAAAGGGTCTTGAGGGCAAGACTTACGAGGAACTGCTGGTGGTCAGTCACTGGAACAGAAAGTTGGGGCTGTTCAGCCTGGAGAAGAGAAGGCTGCGTGGAGACCTCAGAGCAGCCTTCCAGTATCTGAAGGGGGGCAATAGGGATGCTGTGGAGGGACTCTTCATTAGGGACTGTAGTGATAGGACAAGGGGTAACAGGTTAAAACTTAAACAGGAGAAATTTAGATTGGATATAAGGAAGAAGTTCTTTCCTGTTAGGATGGTGAGGCACTGGAATGGGTTGCCCAGGGAGGTTGTGAATGCTCCATCCCAGGTAGTGTTCAAGACCAGGTTGGACAGAGCCTTGGGTGACCTGGGTTAGTGTGAGGTGTCCCTGCCCATGGCAGGGGGGTTGGAAATAGATGATCTTAAGGTCCTTTCCAACACAAACTATTCTATGATTCTATGAAGTGGTCCTGGCACTGACCTGTCACAGTTCAAGGGGCATCTGGACAATGCTTTTAGTCATATGGTTTAGTGTTAGCTAATCATTTAAGGAGCAGGAGTTGGACTTGATGTTCCTTATGTGTCCCTTACAACTCAGGATATTCTATGATTCTAACTTTTTCAAGGACACAAAATCAGTACTATGTATGAAGGGATTCTGGGGGTAGGGGAAGGGAGGGAAGCAGCATCTTTCATAGGGAACCAGTATTCTCATTTTCTCTCAGAGATTAAGGAAGTTTCACTGAAGAGCTCTTCTCATGACAGTCCCAAGCCCTTTTCTCCCAGGCACCTTTCTCAAGAGACTAGAGGATAATTGTGAAACAGTGATTTCTTGTTTTGCAGTCAGAGGAGGAAGCTGTCTGAGGTACAGTTCTTACCAACACTCCACAGTTTTGCTCATGGAGCAACAGTGGCCTCTTCATTTGTACTTAAGGTTCTTTGAAGATACTTCTTCACTTGGCTTACATTCATTCTTATTTAGGTTAAATTATCCTAATACCCAGAAAGAGAACCTTCTCACTTATAAGACTTTTTCATTACTAAAGGCTGGTTTAACCTGGGCTTTGTCATTCCCTTTTCAATGGGTATTCAAGTGGCAACAAAATCAGTGAATTCTTTTGTTACAGATGGTCTCCAGGGTCTTTTCCTGGTTCCTTACTTGCCTCAAAGGACTCAAAGTTTTGGTTTTTTGCAACCAAATGGCAAAAAAAAAAATCACAAGCCTCTTCCCCTACCCCATGCTAAAAGAATGCCAACACTCTACTGCGTCTAAAGGCTTTGCTATAGACATTTTCATACCCAGGCTGGGGTAGATCAGTTGTTCAAACTTTAGTGCCAAGGACCCCATTAACTATAGGGAAAATGTAAACCAGATTTTAATACTTGCATTGCCTGAATTCAGCTTTAGCTTTCTAAAGAGGACACTGAGTGAATGAACCTGTCAGTGGCTTCAAGTTAACAGAACCTACTTTTGAAAGAAACAATAGCCATTGATGTTCCTCTAGTAGCAGACTATTCAAGAAATGAAGACATTACTAGCACTTTAAATGAATAAAAGTGCTTTCCTTTATTTTACAGCTTTCTCATTCCTCTGACGTAGGTTTTCATTTTAGCATTTAGGTATTTTAGCAATATCTGTTGTTTTCACTGACTTCTGTGTTTTAAATATTTCACTCCTGTGCCCAGGAGGGGTAGCAGTGGCTACCTGGTTGTCTGTACAGTCCTTTTTAATAAATGTTTGTTTCATGTCATGCTTTCTTCCTGCAGAGTATTTTCACACCTGTTATTTGTTTGTGCTGCTGATAAGCAGCCATAGCCCTAAAAGTAAACCCCAGCTTTCTCTTTAACAGGATGCAATTGCCACAATTCTGTTACATCTTTGTAGAAACTTTATGGGGAAATAAATATCCCTTCTAGTGAGCTTTTCAAAATAGAAAAGGAGACAGCAAGACAAGTTCGAACCCAGCCAAACTTCTCAGACACACTTAAGGAACACAAACCACTCTGCACTTAAGCTGCAAGATTTCTGCATCTGTGTAAGAGTCATAAACAGCATCTTAATTCCCCAAACCAGGTACTTCTGGAACAAACCCATCCTCTGCTGCCACTGACTACTCACACTGGAACTGAATCATTTGCATGCATAGAAACACCTTATTTGCACTTGGAGATGTCCAGTTGTGAAACTCAAACAGACCCAGAAAAAATAACAAGGAAATCACGTCCCCTTTCAACCACTGAAAGCTCTGAGTGGGCATTTCTGTCTGTCTGTGACTGATTCACAGTGCTTCAGCTTGAGCTAGTTCCCAGCCAATTTAAACTAACCCAAAACAAACCACTCTTAGGTGGGAACAAGTCTTGCTCAGGCAGGTTTCAGTTTAAAGACTCATATCCAACACCTTCTGTCAGGTGCTAGATTCCCAAGAGGGCAAACCCCAGATGGATTTTTCACAGTTCTGTACTAGTGAGGAACCTCACGTTTTGTTTTGCTTTCTAAAGTTAAACTGAAAGCAGCAAGAGCCATGATGCCCTTTCTGATTCAAGGTAGGGATAGGTGTTTTGCAAAGAGTCCTGCTTTGCCATTAGGAGATTCTATCTTCTTCTAATGTGTGCTGGAAGTAGCTTCTCTCAACAAACTGGTGACTGAGGAGCTTATGGGAGCACTCCCTAACCCAGTTCTGTCAGGAAAGCCCACACATGATGTACACTGTCAGCAAAGGAGGTAACCTACAGCATGGTAACTCCAGTCCTGAGAAATGACCTCTGGTATTGCCAGTTACTTTAAAGACTTATTTTCTGAATGGAAATACACCTTTATAAGGGTTTTTTTTTTTCTGTTCCTGATGCACACAAGCTTCTATCACAGTAAAGACATCACATGCAAGTAGGTAGATGTGAGTTTCTCTCCAAGAGGTCTGCAGCATCTCAGCTCTGACAGTCTGCTGTTCTGATCAAGCAGACTGAAGTTGCATTTCCAGTGGTTTAAGCTTCAAGTGTAATTCCACTTAACACCAACATCATCAAATAACATAATCTCATTGGTGAGATACGCCTTGTTTAATTCAGTCAGACACAAGTACAGTCATCTGCGTTGAACTCCTGAGTAATGGACAAAACCTGCATATTTCTCTGTCCATTTTCCTGGAAAACTACTGCCCTCTGCATCCTCATTTCCAGCTTTTTTCCCCCCTAATTTATCTAAAGAGAGTCTCACTTAGTCTCCATTTTTCAGACAACTGTCATCGTTCTTTGGTTTGTTTTCATTAATCTTTGTAAGATAATAATAAAAAGTTTGAGCAAACTTGGTTCTGCCACAGCTCCAAACAGCTTCTGGTGCTTTGGTCAGTGCTCCCTCTCAACTTTCACATAGAAACACTTAACCCACAGCGCTTTCAATGCTTAACTGCCTACAAGACTGATAGCACTGATTTCCTGCTATTATAAACCTATTACCTTTTTGATATGTCTCCTATACTTGGATGCGACTGAAATGAACTACTGTATTGCTGCATCCACCTGCTTCTCTTCAGGTGTCCTCTGCAGGATTACCCTGCAAAACAAAGCAGAAAGGGCATTGAGACCGATTAGGTTACCGTACTTTGAGAGCCCTTTTCCAAACCATTAACTGTGATGGAATAGCGTCTCATTGCACAAAGTTACGGAATTGTTACTCAGGCCTGAATAGTTTGCTTTAGGTTAACTGTGTGTTCTGTTGTTCTTGGGGTTTTGTGTGTTTACTTGGG